TCCCGGGGCGGGGCCAACCCCCTGGGTTAGCCTGCCTCGGGGGCAACCCCCCCCCCTCCAGCGGCAGGGCCAAACCTCCCTCCCTTCCGCGGCATGGCCTGGCCCCTCCCCTCCCGCAGCACGGCCAACCCCCACGGGCGCCTACCCCGGGGTCAAACCCCACGGCCCGGCCTGGCCCGGCCAACTCCCTTCCCTCCCACAGCGCGGCCAAACCCCGGGACCGACTCCCGCTCCCACGGCGCAGGGAAACCCCTGCGCCCAACTCACCCCTCCGGTGCCGGCGGCGCAGGGAAGCCTCAACACTCCTTCTCTAGGGCCGACACCCCCTCCCCCAGCATGCAACAGAGCTGTGGGAGGGGGAGCAGCCCGCGCACTTCCGGAACCCCCGGAAGTGACGCGGGCTTCAGAGAGGACTTCCGTCCACCCCGCGGGAAGTCGGCACTACACTAGAGGTAGGTAGTGGGGCTTCTCAGGGGTGGGGAGAAAATGGGGGGCGGGGTTGCCCGAACACCTCGCGATCGACTGGTCGAGGTAGAAGTGGATCTGGGTTAGGTCCAGGTCAGGTCCCTCCCCTCACCACAACCTCTAGAGCAGTTCGCAGATCCTGTCCTTCCTTTGCCCAATTGGAAGTAGGAAGCCCCCTTTGATAGGACCCACTCTATAATACAAGGAAGATATGATCCAACTCCACAGATCTCCTCCAGCTGCAGGAACCTTAGGCTGCTCTGTCTTAGTGTCCTGCAGCAGGGGCAGGTACTGAAGGTGGGTCTGATCTGGTCCCTGCCGCCAGAACAGCTTGCAGGGAAGGGACAGGTCCTGTCCTTTCCCTGCGCGATCAGATGTAGGAATCTCTTTTTTTACCGCGTGCACGGATTTCAGAGCTTTTTCCCTTAGCAGTCAGTATCCGTTGGCCCAGCCAGGAAGCCCCCTGAAGTGGCACCGGTATATATACCCCTGCTGGCCCCTCAGTTCCTTCTTACCGCCTGTGACAGTAGCTGGTGCGCTGTTTAAAACTGATAGTCCTTATCCTTAGTTCTGTATATAGTTCTCTTATCTCTTGAGTGTTGTTTTACTAGTTTATTAGTAGGTAGTTACTGTAAATAGTTGTGCCATCCAAATCTAGCAATCCTTCACCTAGCAGCATAAAACCTGCGTGGTTGACAGGGCTAGAACAACTTTGCTTGCAGGAGATGCAGAAGATGTTGCTAGAGAGTAGAAAACCTTCTATGAGGGCACTGTACGAAGCCAAGTGGATGCGATTTGCCTTGTGGTCAGAGCAAAGGGAAATAAACCCGATGCATGCCACAAACCCCCTAATCTTGGATTATTTGCTACACCTCAGACATCAGGGCCTCACTACATCCTCCTTGAAGATGCATTGCAGCCTTTCAACCTAGGGAGAGTCACATGTCCACATTCGCCAAAACAATGGTAAAATGCTTCATGAAAGGGGTAGACAGGTTGTTTCCCTATACTTTCCCCTCCTCTGGTGCCATCCTGGGATCTTAGTTTACTCCTGATGGGTCTCATGAGGGCATCTTTTGAGCCATTTGCCACCTGCTCTTTGAAACACCAGTTGTGGAAGGTGGCTTTCTTGATTGTAATCACCTTGGCAAGGGAGGTCTCAGCTGAGGACCCTCACTTCGGTGCCCCCATGCACTATTTTCTTCAAGGACAAGGTTAGACTACGTCCACCTCCAGCTTTCCTCCTTAAGGTGGTCTCAATGTTATGTCACAAGACATTTACTTGCCAGTTTTCTTCCCAAAGCCTCATGCCTCACGTAGGGAACAGGCCCTACATTGCTTGGATGTTAGAAGGACCCTAGCGTTCTATATAGAGAAGATTAAAGAGTTTTGTAAATCTCCACAACTTTTTATTTCAGTAGCTTAGAGGATGAAGGGCTCACCGGTTTCGACCCAATGCCTATCCTGGATTACCTCATGCATTAAGGAGTCCTATGACAGCATGGGTAGGCCGTGCACTCTATAAGGGCGCAGGCAACATCTACAGCATTCCTTGCACAGATACCTATCCTTAACATATGTAGGGCAGCCACGTGGTCCTCCATGCATATCTTCTCAGAGCACTATGAGATTACTAAGCAGGCCAGGGCAGATGTGACCGTGCTACAATCTGTTGTGATGTAGGTAGTGTTAGGCTTCAGTCCCACCTCATAGGGCACTGCTAGGGAGTTACCTAATTGGAATGGGCATGAGCAAGCACTCGAAGAAGAAAAAACGGTTACTTTCCTCGTAACTCTTTCTTTGAGATGTGTTGCTCATGTCCATTTTCATGTCATGTCCCTTTGTTGGAGAACTCCAACAAGAAGGAACTGAGGGGGTAAAGGGCCAGCAGGGGTATATATGCACTGATATACCAGCATTGCTCCAGAGGGCTCCCTGGCTGGCCCAACAGATACTGCTAAGGGAAAAAGCTCCGGAATCGGTGCATGCAACGCACACACACCTAATTGGAATAGACATGAACAACACATCTTGAAGAACAACAGTTATTAGGTAAGTAACCGTTTTTTTTTCTCAGGGAAAGGCTTTTTTCACAGTCCCTGATGCATTTTCACAGCTGTGAAATTGGTAGTGCCCTTCTTATCACTAAGATATTTGAAGGTTTCTCAAGTTTTTAAAAATAGAAACAATGTTAGGACTCATTCATTCTTAGATTATGGGAAAATAGCTTGATTAGTGTATAGGGTTTTTTATTTATTTGCTTATGAATGTGTCAGGATCACTTAATTTGGGAAAAATCATCTTCTGCTCAAAGTGGACATCTTTTCACAACAGATTCTTAATGAAAACATTATAAACAATAAGCATGTACATTTTAATATACATTATAATGGAATTAAAAATAGTAGCACATTGTTTTCTGTTTTCTTTTAGGATTATATTTCCTGTTCATTACAAACCAAAAGTAAAAAAGGAAGCTCCCTAATATATACAGGTAATACAACAAAAAGTATGTTTTGGATATCTTTGTTAAAAAAGCACATCAGTTCAAATCAGGGATGTTAAATATCAGTCAGTTGAATAGTCGAGTAACCTCATGTATTCTTATTGGTTAGTTGACTATTCTATAGTTCCCAGGGGCAGGGCCAGCAGCCAGTGAGCTCTGGCCTCACTCCTGAGGAGACAAACTCCCCTTGCAGACTGTCTGCTTGTGGCAGCAGCACCTATCTAGTGGACATCTGAGCTCCCAGACCTGGCGCAAGCCGAAAATGAGCTTGGCTGCCTGCCAATTTGGCTGCTAATACACTTCAAATGTAGAGCCACTACAGGGGTAGGTCCCAGACCCAGTGCAAGCCAGGACTGAGCCGAACTGCCTGCCTGCTCTACACTTTAAATGCAGAGCTGCAGCAGGGTAGGTCCCAGACCCATCAGAAGCCAGGAGTGAGCTGGGCTGCTGGCCAACCTGCTGAAAAATTTAAAGGCAAGGCGGGGGGGGGGGGAGAAATGCGTGTAGTCTATAGCATAAACCTGTAAGCTTTTGCTTAACAGTTCAACGGTTAATCGACTATACTATTACATGTCTATAACCAATAAGCGTAGGCTGGTCGGTTAATCTTAATGACTACACATACACCCCTTGCAGCCTCTGTATCAGGGACAGTAACATGGGGGGAGAGAGAAATGCATGTAGTCTATAGCATTAACCTGTAAGCTTTTGCTTATCGGTTAATCGACTATACTATTATATCCCTAGTTCAAATTCACTATTCCTTAAATTTATCTTAGGAATTCCTGTGATTTGAGGGAGTCGTTTTTTATTCTTTCAAAGGCTTTGTCTGCCCTACCAAATTTTGTAACCTTTTAGAAAAAAACAATGAGAACACACATTGTCATATGATTTTTGATGGGAAAAACATCCAGTTTCCATGACAAAAAAAAATTCCACCACTGTTTTTGACTATAAGAGTCAATGTAGACACTGCTGTTTGTCTTGTCTTTCTACCAGTATCCCATAATGCTTGCCCTGATCTTTCTGCTCAGTGTTCTAATCTCTGCTGCGCTGTAGACATGCACCCTTCTCTTTCAAAGCTCCAGGAAGTATTTCAAAGCTGAGTGTGCTGTTCCTTTTGGGGAACAAAGAAAGAGCATATCACTGGCATGCTACTGTTCTGCCTTGCACTAGGAACACAGCAGCAGACAGACTGATGTTGCTGGGGAAGGAGGACAAACTTCTGTGCTATTTATTTCTCGGCATGGAGAGCTCATGGAGCTACTCAGAATGCTGTTCCATCTGAGGAGGCTGTGGAAAAAGTTGGAATCCCAAGAAGCACAGTGATCAGCTCTGCCTTCCCACAATATTGCACTGTGGGATACATACATATGGTGGATTGCTCACACTGTAAATGATGGTGCTCCCAACATGGACATGATCTGTAGACAGTGGGAGCAAGTGTGAACACCCTTCCTCCTCCGGACTGTTGCCTGTGGTGGTGGTGGCGGGGGTGGGGGGGGTGCCTGGGTGTAACCGTGAAAGTTAACCAGTGAGCCCAGGCCGTAAACCATTTACACATTTATGTTTACGTTTTCCCTAGTGTGTATTCTACAGGAGTACTCCAGAAGAAATCTCATTGTGTTACAGGTTTGGGTGGTCTAGCAGGGGAGGAATGCTAATGCTTATGTATTTTCTCTGTGAGAAGGGCTGCAGGTAAGGAAGGTATGGGATAAAAATAGTACAGGCAGTCCCCAACTTACATGGATCCGACTTATGTCGGATCCGCACTTACGAATGGGGCTTTTCTCGCCCCAGAGCTCACGGGCGGCGGGTCGCCACCCCTGTCCTCCGGGGCGAGAAAAGCTTCTCCCGGTCTCCCTGGTCTGCTGTGGGGGTCCAGCAGCTTTGCTGGACCCCCCCAGCAGACCAGGGGGACAGGAGCAAAGCTGCCCAGGCGGCATCCCACCGCCTGTTCGGCTTTGCTCGGGGGCAAAGGAGCAAAGCCACATGGGTTGCGGGGTCCCTCCGCCTGTGCGTCTTTG